TTTTTCTCAAATGCGATAGCGCGTTGTCGTTCTCTATTGCCACTATGACTTTTTTCTTTCTTTGATGTCATATTGATTAAATATATAAATCACAAAACTGAAGAAAGTATAGCACAAACACTCGGAAAAGCAATGCTTAACCCTTGTTCAACCTGTTTATTTCTTGTGTCGGTTTCCCTGTCATCTCGGACATCATCTTCGTTCCGCCGAACTACGCCGACTTCCAGCCAGTCTACCCCGAGGCCGTCCAATCGCCGCGGATAAACTATAACAATGCACTATAGACTGAATTTTCTACGTTTGTTTCCGTCCGAGAGAAAAAATTCTCGACCCGAATTATGTAAATACTGTCTTCCAAATAAACTGCTTGTTATGTAAAAGTGACTGTGTCAACCCCAACTCACATTATGTTCTCATCCTTAGTTCTTCTTGACAGGAAAAGGGATTAAAATACTGCTTCTCCCCATCGGCAATCTCACATTAGTATTTATAATTTCTTAGTTATAATTATGGTCAATATTTGTGTGAATATTAATTAGCCACGGCTCCAAAATAAAAAACAGTTTATATACAGAGTATCCACTTATGACAAATTCCATTGGCTGTACTACCTAGCAGTAGTAGTAGTTGATGACATCATCATTCTGAAAGAGCATAATCAACTAATCACTGGACAAGTGACCCAAACAACCGCTCTACTCTGACCAACTGAACAGGAAAGAGCAAGCAGAGCATTCTGAGTACTCTAGAGCAGCCAGACAAATTTGTCATTAAACATCTATCCAGGGGCTAAAGAGATCTTTTTCAATATTGGTTAGGTTAGGTTGTGGACTGTAGTGGACACAAATACACTGGATAGTACATTGCCATGACACATACTCATACTGCTGATATATGCAACTGGCACAATGTGCAGAGAATGTCACACAGAGATCTCAGTAGTGCAATACAATATTAATTTTATAGCATGATGAACCACACCTCCTTTGGTACAATTTTATGATCTGATGAAACACCTTTCCCAGAACAGCAAGTGTAACTGTCACAATGTGCACTCCATAATGCACTTGACATATGTGACAGTGTATTTTATCCTAAATGTCTGATGTGTAATCTAAGGTGAGCAGCTTCTTGCTTTTCTTATTCATTCACAGCACCCTGAACAGTGACTGTCAAGATCACTAGCAACATAACATTGTGCAAGGAGCTGTCATACTGGTGCGGCAGTACCTTTCATGTCATATGCAAACCAGTGATACATATAATGATGCTCAATAAAAAAAATGAAAAGGTGAATGAAAACATGTATTAAATTTTATTCTTCTGTACCTCGTGGTTGTTCATGTAGCCTAGTATTTGAGTTTGATGTTCCTGTTTTGTATTTCATCCAGTGTTCAACTGCTTGAAAGTTTTTTCACATTGTTTACTTTTAAATTTGTGGGGTGACAGTAGGGGCAGGCAGAGAGCAAGGGATAGAAAAACAGTGTGGGAAACACTACCCTGAGTAATTACATCCCTGAATGATATAGATTTTTATGCATTCATATGTATTATTTTTAAATCATAAATTTGCAGAAAACATTGCCCAATACTACAGTATAATTTGAATCTTGCATATGATGTATCAGCTCATTTTCTCCATTATAATTGCATTAGAATGATTTAAGCATTACAATGAAAGGATCAGACTTATTTGGTATTTGAATTTCACATAATTTTCATATTTGCTCTCATGTTTGAGGATTTTAATCATATTCAAATGTTGAGACAATATAAAAGTTTATCATATTCCAATTTTTAATTTTATAATATAAAAATCTTTTATTTACACACTTAAAATGATTTTTATTGTTATCTAATCTGCATTTGGTTGGTTGGTTTAATGTGATGTGGTAATGCAACTTATGGATGATCTGCTTCTCAAAAGACTTTCAATGAAAATTGGTCCTATTTTCTTTGTGTCTAACATCTAGACAAAAGGAAAACCTGGAAAACTCCATGCAGTCAGCCCAGTTTTTCACATTGGCTCCATAATGTTTTTAAATCTTTTTGAATATCTTTATACATCAACAATTCTTCCATTCCTCATTTAAAGTTTAAGCTACACTTATTGGATTGACACTTATAAAATGATCAGTATAATCATGTACCATACCATCAGCAGTATAATAAAAGTTGTGAAAGCCAGAACTACACAAGACTATAAACTTTCCTACTTAAAGCAGGTTTTCTGTCTTAGGCAGCCAGGAAGAAAAAATGGTCACAGCTTCAACATGAAAATATACTTTTTTAAACCAAGTTTCAATCTAAATGTAATATTTGCAATATTCATTGAAATGACCTCAAAATAAAAGAAAAATAATGCAGAAAATAAAATATATATTCATGTACAGTACAGTATATATTCTCATGAAAAAAAAATACTTGTTCTAAGTGAAACTTCATGTTTTATCACAGAAAATAGATTTTTAGATGCCATTTTAGGTGGTTTATTTGCTCAAAATCAAACTTCTAGAGAGAACTCAAATTGAATATTCTAGAGCTCTAAGTTATTAATGATGGATTATTCAACATTTATGGTAATTTTTAAATGTGTCAATGAATCATGTTAAAACAGCAATTCATTTATGCTGAACTTAACTTTTTATTCAAGATAAATGCAAGTGGAAACAGAAAATGTAATTATGTATCAATATTTTCTGAAGTCTCTGATGTAATCAAACACAAAAAGTAAATCAAGTTTCTTCTTTTTACACACTGAAAAATTTTCTATCAAAGTATAGCCAATAGGAAAAATCTCTGACAATATGATTCATTCTAGTCATGAGATTCCATCATTCAAAAAAAAAAAAAAAATGACAAATTTCACTGGCATGTATAGGAACAAAAGATGTTTAAACCAAATCTAAATTTGTTATATGATTTAATGTACATATGAGATTGTTAAACTTCACTAATTTTCAACATATTCAATCCATTAATCCAACTTTTAATTAAAGCTAAATGAACTGCCAGATTATTAGGCTATGATAAAGCTAATTTTAATAATTAATTATAGAATAATTTGCAAATTACTTTATAAGTAATTATTAAAATTAACCTTAATATAGCCCAATAATCTGGTAGTTTGTTTGGATTTAACTAATTCATTGTTTAGATACTAGGTTCTTTTCAATCATATTAACTATAATTTGTGTTTTGGCATGTCATTAAGCCTAAATCATGTATGTATGTACTGTACATTACATCTTCAAAACAATTTACAAACTCAGTATCAACAACTATATTATTATTATTTAACCAAACTATTTCCTAAAATCTGTCAACTTATAAGCAAAATAAATATTGATGACTTTGATTTCATTCCTAATGCTTTGGTTTCAGGAAAAACAGACTTTCTGTCCACATCTCACAGACTCTACCTTAAACCATTCTGTAAAAAAAAAACTTAACAGTAATGGCCAAAATAACCACAATTTTCTAACTTTCACGTGTTTCCATGTTAGAGAGGTTTTGGTTCTCTCACATTTTTTGTAGCAGAGAAAAAGAACAACATTGTTCTTTGTATTTAATTACAATTAAGTTTTTTAATTCAATAAAGACAATATTAATTTTTGTGTTATCTTAAAATACAATATAATTTATCAGTAAGCAAAATATTAAGTAATATCACAATGTTATAAAAATTTTTCACATTATTTTCATTGATTTAATTTTTGTTATAAATTGTGTTATTTCAAAACCACTGTTTACAGGGGTGCTACAAAAGTATACCCATTTAACATATTTCTTTTGCTATGTAGCCTGCATTAAGTTGTAACTTAAATATTGCTTAACAATAGCAAAATGTCACTAATTCCTGCTGTAAATCAAATATTTGATAATACTGTTCAACTATATTATATTAGAATGTGTAAATCTAGTGCTAAAAATTAAATGATACAGAGTGTTTCAAAAAGATTCTACATTCTAAATTAATGTAATTATGTTAAGTTATTATCCAAGAATGTTGTAATGAACATTAAAACATAGGAAAACAGCCCAAGTTTCACATTTGTCCATTACAATTTCTCAATGCATGCACCTTGTATTATATGGCACACATCTGACTAATATTCAATTCTTCCTATGCTTTTTACTGTGTATCTGTCATCCCTTTCACAATTCTAGTTCCTGCAGATAGCTCATGTTGAACAATGACTAGTGATTCTGACTTTGTAAATTGCAGAACACAAAACACCTCCTCTGCTGCAAAGTCGTCATTTTTACTTATAATGCTTTCTAGAGGTAGTAGACAACATGATGTTTCAATGCAGATGGGAGATGAACTCCTGACAGTTACTCTATCGATTGGTGTATGTTGCATACTTCTTAGATAATAATTAACATAATTACAGTAATTTAAAATGATAGCATTCATTTTGGAAGACACCGTATACCTGACAAAAGTAGAATAATAATCAAAATTTTTACAATTAAAATAGTCTTTTTAAACATAAATATTTATTATGTAACTATACATAATTACAGTGGCATGCGGTGACATTTGATAGGGAACCTGTGCCAGCCCTGGATAGAATCATTAGAAGCATTATACAATATTTTGGTGTATAACATCCACGAGCTAAACTGCATGATGGTGCTCTGTAAAGTGCACATATGCGAATGTGTATAATCTGGCTGCTTTACATGATTCAAATATTTTTGCCCTGGAAGCTATTTTGTATTCAACAATATTGCACGTCCATTGGGAATATGCATATACAAATTTATATTTGAATATACAATAGCAATCTTATCATTTTTTTTCACATGTAGTATAGAAATTTGTAATAAGATACATAATGTGGTTATAATAAAATATTAATTTTAATTAATTCAAAGTAGGTTAAAATATGAAAATAATTGCACAATATGTATTTATATATTAGAAAATACATGGAAAGCAGTGCTTCCACAGTTTCCATGGATGACATGNTATAATTATCTATAAAAAGTTATTAAAGCTGGTTCATTGCTTTATGGATATGTTCGTTTAATTCAATTATTATTCTATCTTCTTCAGTATATACACCAGTGCCCAATAATGTTTTCTTTTCATCTTTCAGTCTTTGTAAATATTCTAGAGTTTTACTATCATGATATGAATCGTTTTCCAGTGTAGTAGTAGTAATAGCAGCAGTTGTAGTCGTAGTAGTAGTAGTGCCAGCGGCAGAAGGCTTTAGAAAAGTTTTTTGGATAGTATCTGCACTTTTAGGATAATGTCCAATATTTTCAGAATTACTTTCTTTTGGACTTTCACTTTCATCAGAGTTTTCTGTAAAACTAATTAAAAATCTGCATTAATCTCTTATTTGAAAATAGTTCTATTTATAAAATTTAATTAATTACAAAATATTATATCACAAATTAACTATATTAAAATTGTCATATTTTCTTTCTAAATTAATTTATGTAAAAATGACTGTTAATGAAAATCAAACAGATCACTTAATTGATAACCAATGAAATATTATGATTGTTAACCAAGATTAAACTTGTCAACTAAGAGCATTAGATATTTCCTCATTAATCTAATTTAATAATACTGTATGTAATTGAGATGCATAGTCTCAATTTTATGTATTTGTATATTTTGACACTTTCCTACATATTTTATTATGATTTATGTACTTTGTACAGTAGAATCTCATTTTAACAGATTGCAAAACAACAGACATCTCAGAATAACAAATTTTTTCCCAGGTTCTGTCAAATCAATGTAATTTTACCCTCCTTTTAGTGGATCTGTAAATTGGAATGACAGATTTTTTTCTAGCCCCCAAGTATTGTACACTTCGTGTTTTTTCAATGTATAGTTAATATTTGGGTGTTTCTTGAATTTGTAGAGTTTGGTGATGCACTTGTTACATCTGGGATATGTATAATTGAAGAACTGTACAGAGTCAGCAGGATAATACAATTAAGGAGGAGCCATCTAATGAACATTCTGACACTTAGCTGAAATTTAGCAGGTTATAGAGTCTTTCAAGTTGTGAAGACCTTCCTGATGATTTTCAGCATAAACAAACAGGTTGTATATGACATTGCTAACATCAGGCAGTTTTTGTATTCAATAGGCAGAAATGTGGCATCAAAACAAAGCTGGACAAGATTTTTAACAAATCGTGAAGTTGAATGAAGTGCTAATGAGCATATGTTCTTTACTTCTTTGTGCTTACAGTATGCACAGTTTCTGCTTTCTGTCAGTTAGGAGGCTCAAGTGTAAGTGAATTGCATGACCACAATGTGAAGGAGGGCTTCTCAAATAAATAACACCCTATAATTGGTGTGAAGAGGGTAGTTTGAGTCCACAAGGGGTTGAAATTGGACTCCATTATTTTTCTGGTCAGCTCTGTGGAATATCTACATTTTGCAAAAACCCTCCTCACTTCCACTTGTAGATCACACTTTTAAAATTCTTCAACCACAATGCCTCACTACCCTAGTCATCCCGTGTTATAAGGCACCATGAACTCGTGCCTTAAAAAATATTTTGAGAGTTTCATTGCATCTTTTGTTTTTGTTTGCCTTTTATTTCAAATTTTGTTCTTTTTGTACTCACAAACCTCAAATTCTGCTTTGAAATTTGAGTGTTTACAATATTTAAATGTTGAGAATGTTATACTGCATGTAGTAATGTTCTGTTCTAAATTTGAAACATTTGTTAACATGATGACAATGATTTTGTATCATTAAAAGTACGTATGTTATAAAAAAGATTTTAATGCCATCTGACAGTGTATGCCATCTTGTATTATAAATAATACAGCTTTTTTAAAATCTAAAAGTGACAATTGATATTGATGTATGTTATATTTGGGACGTACAAGGAGACCCTCGGCTTTGGGGAAACAAATTTTGATGATCATTGGTGTTGAGGTAGTACACCATGTGAGTGTACTACCTGTAAAATACTAAAGTGCAACACTCAAATATAATCGAGAAAAACAAACTTAAAGTTTTCTTTAGCACTTTATATATAAGTTACGCATACTACCACTTGAGCAAATACGTACAAAATGACATAGGCAACATAATTCGAATTTGGCAATCTCAAGCACACAACTGATCATGACACCACGTTATCCGAGCAGCTTTTACTAACCTGTCAAAATGTGAACACACTCCTCTCATTTGCACAGGTGTCATGGCCGACAACAAGTGTTGATATGTTACAAGTTTTTTTTTTCTTGCACCAAGTTTTTTGTATAGATGGTAAATTTTTCACTATTTTATCTATTTGTGTAGCATTTATTTCAACCCTCAAGAATTTAAATGCTACACAAATAGATAAAATAGTGAAAAACTTACCATCTATACAAAAAACTTGGTGCAAGAAAAAAACTCGTAACATATCAACACTTGTCGTTGGCCATGACACCTGTGCAAATGAGAGGAGTGCGTTCATGTTTTGACAGGTTAGTAAAAGCTGCTTGGATAACGTGGTGTCATGGTCAGTTGTGCACTTGAGACTGCCAAATTCGAATTATGTAGCCTATGTCATTTTGTATGTATTTCCCCTACTCCAAAATCAAAACCCGTTTTTTAGAGTATAATACAGGAAAATAACCCAGAAAAATCAAACAAATATAAGTAATATGAAATATCCAATAATGTTAACAAAAATATAATTTTGAATAGGATTCTAGAAATAATCAAGCACTTATCAGAAAATGAAAACTGTAAGTTTGCCGTTTTTGGGGCAATGCGTTAATTGCGTGTCAGGAAAACTTAGGGTCAAACCGTATGTAGGTGGTGGCGGTAGGAGACAGAGATGACAAGTGTCTTACACGAAAACCTTTTATTCTGACATAAGATTAACTCACATAATGACAATAACAATGCGATCTAGATCGACTTTGGTGGGAGCTCCTTGATGTCGATGAACGGGTGCTGACTGGTGTTCCAGGCTTGACAGGAGAGTGTCCGTTGCACAGGTGCCTCTGTCCAGTGATGATGTGGATGCACGGAGATTTTGGTCACTGGTGGAGAACCCTGTCCGAATGGAGAACTGCGGAGAATCGGCTGGGAATTCCTCTTCGGAGAGAAGCGGCTGAGAATCTCTCCGCTGTCCTTGAGATTCAGGGGTTTTATAAGATTTTCCCCGAATCTCACCCTTTTGATTAGTCCCGTTCACCCTCTCCCTTACCCCGATTGGTCATTCTTTTGTTTCTAGGCGAAACTTGAGACTGATCCAGGTTGGGAAAAGGTCGGAGAGGTGATGACGGAGCTTTTAATGTTCGCACTCGTCGACCCGACACTTGTTCGCGAGTATCTCGACAAAGCTCTTTCTCTCTGTCGACATTCCCCCCTGTTGTTTATCATCGCGTCGCGTTTGTTTTACGATTCGAAAAAAGTTTTCATCCCATCTGGGTTCTGTCATTAACATACCCTCTTGACCCGATTCTATCTTCGAAACTCTCTGACGTTAAAGTTTGTAATTAGTCGTAATTTCGACACGCTTTTACGACCCTCACAAAACTTATCATGACTTGAGTATGTCACTGAAATTAGTTCAGACTCAGATTCTAGTGAGAGGTGTTCATTGCTTACCACACCAACTTATCACATCCAACGAGAACAAAGTGCACAATAGAAAAGTGAAATTTAACAATGAAAGCGAAATTATACTTAGTCATTAAACATAAAATGAGTGTAGACACTGATAACAGTAATATAAGTAAGTTTAAAAGTGTAAAAAATATAGTTAAAAAAAAAAAAGAAGTATTTCTTAGAGCAAAAAATACAAGGAATGCATCTTAAAAAGATTTTCAATGCTCTAATGAGACATGTTCAACTAGTATTGATTCCAAGAGAGCTTTTTCTAATGCAGCTGCCATTTTTACAAAAATTAGATCTAGATTAGACAACAAGAGCCTAAATGTATTATTTTTTTAAGATTCTACTTTCNCGCAGCCGCTGCAGAACTTCCAAGATCGCGGAAATCTTGTAAGCTTCTTTCGTGTTTAATAAACGGTTGTGTTGTTTGTAAACGAAGCATCTATCTCTGACTCAACTGCTTCCACATGTCGTTGATTGTTACCGCTCGGCAGTCCAAATGGCAAGGGAGACAATGATGATATATATCACATATTATCGTTCATTGAGTTTCTTTTTAATTTAATTAATTTTTTAATTTCTCCCCCCTCGGCCCCCACATTATAAAAAAGTAAATGCATATTTATTTGATGAGCTACCTTTCCTTATTTTCTATTAAAACCATTAACAAAGCATTAAATAAGATATCCAAGAAAAGAGAATGAAATAAAAAAGACAATCAAGCAAAAAATGAAGTATACTATGAAGATACACTCAGAATGAGAGATTCTGTGTGCGCTGATTTAGAAATATATTTTAAATAAAAAAAGTATATGTATTCAATACAATATACTTATACAAAAACATAACACTTCAGTAAAAATTATGTACTATCATACACTTGAAACCTTTAATGTCCTATATGCTTCTTAAAGGTTATTTTAGGAGGCATATAAGGCATCAAAGATTTCAAGTGTATGATAACACTTCAATATTGTATATTGTATTATATGTTAAAATAAAGGATTAAAGACTAATTGAAACCGTTATATATATACTTTTTTACAAGGTATTATCCATATAAATAGAATACGTAATATTGGGTTGTTCAGAAAGTAAGTTCATTTTTTTTCCATCAAAGAATGCATCTTAAAAAGATTTTCAATGCTCTAATGAGACATGTTCAACTAGTATTGATTCCAAGAGAGCTTTTTCTAATGCAGCTGCCATTTTTACAAAAATTAGATCTAGATTAGACAACAAGAGCCTAAATGTATTATTTTTTTAAGATTCTACTTTCAAAATTACATGGTTGTCTAATAATTTTGTCAGTAATTCAGTTTCGTTTTAAATCATTTGTTAATACGAATATACCAGTAAATTACCGATAAACCAGTAATCCCGAATATAATTACCAAATTACCAGTAATGTAATACTCAGTAAATTTGCAATCACTAATCACATTATATTCATGTGATGATGATGATGAGATCCTTACAATGCCTAAATTTTTTGCATCTTATAAATGTTTGTTTATTAATTTGTATTATTATTTATATACAATATAAAATTTGAAATATTAATAAAGACAAAACTTACTTTGATATTTTATCTTTTATTAGATTCAAAGTATCTTTTTCACTCTGTAAAATTCCTTCTTCTACTTTAGCTAATTTATTCAAATGAATAATTTCATATTCTTCTTTCTTTAACCATGCACTTTTTTCAAGATCTAATACTTGTTGTTCTAATTGTGCAATTTTCCTTAAAGCTTGTCCCCACTGATCTTTATATCGTTGTTTAGAAGACAAGGCTTTTTCTAATTTTTTCATCAAATCTATCTGCAAATTATAAAATTAAATTTTATATTTTATTTCTAAATTAGTTACTCATTTTTATCATAGAAAACTTTTTATTGACAACAAAATTAAAGTTAAATTAAAATATTTGTTATAAATCAAAAATTGGATCTAGCAGGTTGGGTTTCTTCAGCCAAGTGCCAAGCAAACAGATGACTACTGAGTGATTTTCATCCGTCAAACATGTATTCAAATACCAAATTGTTTGAGTTGAGAGCAGTTTGAATACTGAAGTATCACTGCATACATATAAATGTCCAAATCTAAGATGTTTTTTTACTATAGTATTTACAATTTACAATTTTAAGTATTTAATATTGTTGTTTTTATAACTGAATATAATTATTCCTTGGTAATCTATATATCCCCTAATGTGTCTCCACTTTGTTATATTAGAGCTGCATCTTATAAAAGATATTAATAAATGTAAATAGTATAATAGTAAATAAGCATTATAATATTTTTAGAAAACATGAGATTTTGCTTAATTTAACTCATAATTGTAAATAACTGTAAAAACATTTTATTAAAAGAAATTTGCAATCTAATAATTATAAAATAATCATGCAAATTCTGGTAATATACAATTTATCAGAATTTTATTACACTTTTGGAACCAGAGACTATCTACTTAGAACAAATATCCATTAAAAACTTTTCACACAGTTTACACAGCCCAATGATTTTTCAAATAATAAATACACAATTTTTCTTCATAAAAAGCCTACTTTTAAGCCTGTCTTAATATACAGTAATTATGAAAATGACAGCAAGATCATACATGCTATCCTGTTTTCATTATTAAATAGCAAATTGTATGACTGAAAACTCTTCCAACTGTAAATGTGTGATAACAGAAATCATAAATAACCAAAGAACTACCAAAATTATAGGTCTATTTTTATAGAAATAATTAACATAATTTAGCACCAAAAGCAAAAGTTCAGTTGACAAACTAAAAGACACAAAAGTATCTAAGGAAAGTAGAATAATTTTAAAATGACATTCTTGGAACAGATAGTTCATTGTAATATCTGCTTAACAGAGATTTTGAGAATAGAAAGTATAACTTTTGTCCATTTTCTACAGAAAGAAATGTCCATTTAATCAAGATAAAAATGCATCAAAAGTACTATTACTATGCTGAAACAAGTAATTTTGTCTACTCAAATGGACATGTAAACTCAGATTTCACTATATTTCTTACCAAGTTTTTTGTTTCATTTTGTTATTGTGAGGCTCTGGACAGGTCTGAACCCTCACTAAAATTCACGTTAAAATAATTGTTTTAGAGAAAAAATATATAGTAGTTAGAAATAGATTTTATTTTATAAAAACGCGACGCTAACTTTTAAACAATAGAAAAATGTAAGTCCATTGACCATTTCCGGTTGGAGATTGAATTAAACTTTGATTTTGACCTCTCTTGCGCCCTCGAAAGGTTTTGAATTGTCATTAGGTGACGAGGAGAGACCAATCGGAAAGGGGAAATCTGAGAGAAAATGGATAAAACCCCAGAAGTTCGAGGACGCGACGGCTTCTTCTCCCGAAAGTTTCAAGTGACGGACTTGTTGTTGTGCGTGTGTCTCGCACCCATCTTCTTCTCCATCTCCCGACCTCGGATCGACATCTTTCCATCAATGGAAGTCGACGGCATCGTCCCGGAGTCGTCGAGGCGTGATGGAATGGTTCATTCGCGAACAAGGGACACTCCTTCAAAATGGGACTATCTTGGAAAGGAGAGGAAGACCCAGAGACCGCAGCCGCTGCAGAACTTCCAAGNTCTGAGTGTGCTTGATCTGGCAAATATGGTTGGTGTGATAGCACATCCCATCTAAGTTATAACAGTTTCTGACAAGTTACCAAACTTGTGTGAAATTTGACATTATCGTGGTAAAACACTACACCTGTTTTGTTGATCAATTCTGGCCACCTTTTCTATTTGATGATATTACTCAATTTATTTACTCAATGGCAGTACGCTTTCGAATCAATTGTTAAATTGTCTGGTAAAAGTTCCAAAAAAAAATTTCCTTAAAATCCCACCAAAAAGAGCATCTCTCTTTAAGAACATATGGAACTAGTACATCAAGCTTTGAAATGAAACCAATTTGTTTCAAGTAATCATAAACAGTTCAATTTGACAAATTTAATCTCTTAGTGATTTTGTGTGTTGTTATTCGGCAGTTTGCTTCAATCAGTACCTTTATTTCGTTTTCATTGGTTTCAACTGGCCACCAGAACGTGGTGCATCTTCAATATTGAAATTGCCAGAATGAAATTTTGTAAACAAGTTTTGGCACTGTCTTTCTCTCAACACATCATCTCCATACATGTACCACAATTTTTTTCTTGCTTGAACAGCATTTTGGTTTTTTGGTAATAAAAGAGCAAAATATGCCAAATCAAACATGGAAGATCGAATACTTTCAATCTTCCATATTTGATGGGACACAAAAAAGAAACAATTGCACAAAATCAAACAAAATTTTTTACAAATAAGCCTTAAAATGCTAGCTGTCAAAATATATAATGGTAATACAGTTTAGAATAAAAATGGTGGGAAAAATACGACTAATCCGTCTAGAGGTAAAAAAAAAAAAAAAAAAAAAACTTACTTTCCAAACAACCTAATATATAGAGGGGGGGAAATATTAGATGACCCTGATTTTATGAAATAAATATATGAATGTTCAATAAACAAATGAAACACTCACTTTACATACACAAACTAAAGTAAAAAGTGTTATATTTTGAGTAACTGAATATGAAGCTAAATATCATATTCAGTCACTCAAAATATAACACTTTTTACTTTATTAAAACTATTGGATATTTTTGATAATTTAAATTTATTAACATTTAAAGAATTAATCATTCTAAACTATCATCAATAAAGTCTAGTGACCTAGACTGAATATTATATATACAGTGTTCCCTTCAAACATATCTAATGTTGTGGATTAATTTTAGAAAAAAAAGTATGAGTACAGTCGACCCCCTATAACGCGGGTTCATATAATGCGGATTCGTATATCGCAGTGAAAAAATTGCACCCGTATTCGTAAACAATATTAAGTACCTTGGAGTGATACTTGATCCAAAACTTACCTGGAAAGACCACATCTACTATTCTTACAACAAGGCAGTTAGAGCCAATCAAGGCCTTAAGTGCATCACCAGGAATTACTGGAGCCTTGACAGTAAGAACAACAGGATAATTTACAAAAGTGCCGTAGAATCATCCTTACCTACGGCTGTGAGGTTTGGGGTATGCAGTGAATAAAGTCCACATTCACAAGAAACTTCTCTCCGCGCAGCAGACGGCAGCAATTGCTATCACAAAATCGTATAAAACTGCCCCAACAGATGCCCTACTGGAATTGCAGGCCTCACTTCTATCCACCTTGTGATAATGTACAAGTACATAAAAAACCTCATCATGAATATGATTACAGCCAACACCAACCCGGACCTGATTCATAAGACCATCAGCAACCACAAACTACCAGATTCGATTCACTTCCTGGCTGATGAAGTTATGAAGCTTGGTATAGACCTAAACATCAGCCAACTCACCACTCACCCTACCAGCAACATCAGCTCAAACTTCAACTTACACCCCACTGGACCACCAAATGGGCTTTGCTTCTATACAGACGACTCCAATCATCAGGGAGCAGTAAGTGCAGCTGTCTATCTAGAGGACCCCCCAGAAAAAGCTATTCTGGGAGGCTGCCTACAAACTTAATAAAAACTGCTCGATCAACCAGTCTGAATCCCTAGCAATCTGGAAGGCACCCAGTTACATCAATAACAATCTCAATCTGTTCAAGGGGAAAAACTTGAATATCCTCTCTGATAGCCGATTGCCCTACACCAACTTGCTAAAGGTAATAAAATTCCTATCATTCATAACAGCCTAGAGTTAATCTATGCCCTGGAGGGCATTGTTCAAATCAACTTCCATTGGGTCAAAAGACATTCCGACAATCCTGGCAACAAAAGGGCAGATAAAATCACTAAAAAAGCTAATATTGTCACCAATCAATGTTCTTACACTCCTGTTCCTATCTCCTTTGTAAGCAAGGAAGTCTTCACTATTATCACAAATTGGTGGCAAAGGGAGTGGGACGATAGCAGCACCAGCCATATCACCCATGAGTTTCTCCCCAATGTCACTCAAAGGTGCCACTATAATTACCTGGATATGACACACGCCCTCGCTCAGATTTTAACACGATAACTTCAAATGCTACCTTCATCGCTTCTTGAAAAAAGGTGATGGTCTATGTGACTGTGCAATTAAGGAAGAAGATGACCCTGTCCACCTTATTTTCATATGCACCAAACACTCAGCATTGCCATCATCTTCGAAATATTGTGGAAGAAAAAGGACACAACTGGCCATGTCAACTAATTGTCTTTATGGAAGATAGTAAAATCTTCCAAACTTTTGTAAACTACATCAACAAGCTTAATCTGACAAATTACCTGACTACAACCCCCACCTAGGTTCTAAGGTTCCACTCACTTGTACCAACAGGTGGTTGGCCTTACAAAGGCCCGGACTTTCTCATCTATGCTGAAATCCTATGGTTCAGCTAACTAATGCTGTTTTATAATCCATGTGTGTAGCACTTCTAAATTGCACTATTCTGCCATACCTATTATATATTATCACTATTCTAGATGCCTCCATCAATTTTGTACATATCTCTTTATTGGCATCTCTCTCCGTATCACTCCTCTAATTGCCAACTTCGATTGCCTCCCTATCATTTATATGTATATCCAACTCCACACATGATTAACTGTACCATTGTTAAATCAATAAGTGGTTTCCAGCAGGCATCCATGGATCCCTCTCTTCTCTTATCTTTATCCCTCCCTCCTTCCCATCCTAAATCTTCTCCTTTCTCTCACTACCTCATCACCTCCCTATCCTCCTAAAGTCTATATCTTCGAGTCCAGCCTTATCTTTAACTATGTGTACATGTATATAAACATGCATTATGTCACTCAGGATAGCTAGTAAATCATTAAATTAGATTAATAAATTAACCACTTATAATTCATTATTTATAATAATTTCAATATATTACAATGTTAGTGGTAAAATTTCCCCAAACCTTTTCATTTGTTAGAACTTTCACATCTGCTTGTAAATATGATTCTCTACTTCCTTCCTTTTCTTCTTTCATTGACTGGATAAGAATATCTCTTTCTTTTAATTTCTTCTCAAGATCAGCTAGCTATTAGGAATAATACATCTATAATTAAAATTTATTTTATCTAGGTAATATTTTTAAAATTATTTATTTCAACCCAAACCTCATTTAGTCTCATTAAAAAATGAAATCACTCTACACATTGTAATAGATTATTATTCAGTTAAATAAAAATAATTATTATAACAAATTAAAAAATTATAAAATCAGACAGCATAACAGACTAAAGTAAATAAAACTTTCATATTTAGTAAACAATTGTTTATCTTCTTCAACTTTATGAATGTATCCTTTAGTTTTCAGTTAGTTTTTAGGCCCGGACTAAAAACAACTGTTCATGGTTCAGTTGTGTGTTATGCTTACAATGACAATTACATATTGTTTATATCACAATACATAATTATCAGCAAATATAATATAAAGTTATATTCGTTTTATGTTCTGATGGAAAGTATAGACTATTTATTTTGTGGAAATATTAGCTATAGAATAAACGTTTTATTGATTTTGAATCGATGATTGCACTTACATTGCAGTGACATCAGTGATTGTGTGACATTCATGCTTGACAAGGAAATTTCCTTTAAGATGCATTTGTACATATTTTGGCAAATGGCATTTTAAACTTACTTCATTAAATTTAAAATTTAAACTTTAAAAGAAGATAGTCACATTGTGTCAATTCAACAAATTTTTAAAAAATGTTTCCATAGTGACCATGTGGCATTCTATTATCCAGTCAGAAGTAACAATCTAATGAGCCCATTATTTATACAGTGTTGTCACTCATCTAACTAATGTATATACAATTCATCTTTGTTTTATTAACGTGGAATTTAAGACTTGCTATTTTGTTGGAAAAAAAAAATGCCTAGCAGAAAGGGTAAGAGTAAAATTGGTCAGGTAAATTATAGATCTAAAAGAATAAGAACAACTGAGACCCTGAAGGCCATGAAGTTTGACTTCAGCAACAGCAAATAAGAATGGCTTTGTCAAAAGCTGCAAAAACAGCATCACAACGTCAAACTCAGTATAAACTACTTAATTCGTAGAAATAGCAACTTTTCTTGAATTTCTTGAAATCTCCACTCTTCCCAATTTTTCAATCTCTACTTTCTGATAAAAAGTATTGTCATGCTTGACAGGGAAATTTCTAGTTATTCAGATTTTATAACCCATTTTAATCAATAATTATACAAATTAAACAAAAACTTACTATTCTTAAATGCAACAAAACAATACAGTAATACCCCAAACTTACGCAATAGGTGGGACCGAGCAATAACTGTGTAAGTCGGGGTATAATTTCGCAATTTGTGTAAAATCCAAGTAGGATGTATATAAGCTAATAAATGTTCTCGTTAATCTTATCTCGTCTTTTGATTCGTTCATGGTTACAAGAAATCACCACATGAGTCTCTCAAGGCTCCGTTGATATAACAAACACAGAAATAAATAACACAAAATGTAGCTATTTGTCAATTCCACGCGACGCGTCCGAACATGTAAGCTGAACAATAGTGTGGGGGGGAGTGAGTAATCAAGAGTTGCGTGCCGCTCAAACAAAAGATGAATCGACGAGATTTGAAAATCGTGTAACTCTGGGTTTGCGTAAGTTGAGGTATTACTGTATTAATAAAAAAATGCAAAATTTAATTATTTTCCATTAGATGTTAATGCAAAAATAAAAGCTAAATTACATATAACTTTTTATTAGAAAGTATCTAAGTTATCTGTTCATATCTGTCTTCTAAATTCACTCTATTTATATACAGTAGAGCCTTGAAAACTCGGCACTCGATAACCCGGCACTCCAGATAACTCGGCCATACCCTGGCAGGGCAAAAAAATCCTTAGTTAATTAATTTTCATTATAGACAGCTTTATGCGTCAAAGTATTTTTCTGAGGTCTGTCTTATCAGGTAAATTACTGTACACAGTGCATTCATTAATTTTCATTTTCATGTAGTAAAGGCTCTATGCCTTCATAAAGGACATACTTTTCCTTTGTTTAAGGGTATTTGGGCAGTTTATTCTCTGTTGTATTCTCAAGTAAACAATACATACAAGTACAGTACAGTATTTTCTGAGAAAACACTCATACTTATTTTTTTTAACCCCATTCCCAATAACCTGGCATTTTCACAAACTCGGCCACACTTCGGTCCACATTAGGCCGAGTTTTCGAGGCTCTACTGTATCAGAAAAATAATATTTACAGCACTTGGAACTATTCAACTGTTTTATATTTTCAATTATCTAACAATTTTTAATGACAAAAAAGAATATATTAAATATTATGACAATAATTTTTATTTTTTAAGTACATTACAACTTAATTAGATAATTACTGTATTTACCCACTTATAAGACAATCTTACATTTAGGATGAGGTGTGACTTTAAAGATCAAATAAAGAAAATTAGATTTATTAATACAATTGTAATTTTATTTTGTTTAATCACAAGTAAAATATCAAATGAATGTAAATGCACACATTATCCCACAAAAATTACTGGCATTTTAAACTTTAAGGAAAAATCTTGTAAAATCGACAACATAATTTGTTCATGTAAAGCTGGACAGTTGGGAAAACTTTCTGCCAAATCTTAACAGTTGAATCCACTCTTTGTCGATTACATTTATGGATTTCTCTGAATTCTGATTTCTGAATAATCATCTGTTTTCACGTGGGAATGGATTAAAACTTAGGCTATATCGGGCTCCCTGTAATTTTGGAATTTCAATCTGGAATTCAATTCAAACGCTTTGCTGTTCTTATTGCTATTCATCTTTACTCCTGACAATACACAAGAATGATTCAAATAACCCAGATAAAACAGTTTTGTTTTTAGACACCAGAGGGTGAGAATCCAATAAAAAATGCAAATACACTGTTTACAAAAATTATTGCAAAAAAGGCAAAAAATCTTTTTGCTTGCACATATAGGATGACCTAGGTTTTTGAAGCAGTGAAAAATGAATAAAAACTTCATCTTATATGCGAGTAAATACAGTATTCTTTAACTCAATTCAATATTGTTTTATTTAGATCTGGATTACAAAACTAATGATATTTTTCAGACTCGAGAATTATTGACTAATAAGTTAAAAATGTAAATTCTGTTGCCTAAACTAAACAAACCTCTGAATTTAAACTATATACACTAATGTATGAATAATATATTTAATTTCATTCATTTTATAAACTGCTGGAATAAATATTAATAATATTCTTTACTTTTAAAATTTATAAAATTTTAAGACAAATTATAAAATCTTTCTTATTAAAAACTAAACTTACTTGTTCTTGATAACTTTTACACTTTTGCTGCAACTCTTTTATTTTACTTCTATAAATAAAAAAAGAATTCAAATTATTTTTATCTGATTAATTAATTAATAGCATTTTAAATTATTATAATTATGTTAATTATTATTTGAGAATGTTGTAATATACATTAAAATATCAGAAAATGCACTCAAAAATTTCTCAATAAATGCACATTGTATAACATGGTACATATCCAACTAATATTCAAATTCTTCCTATACTCACCTACCTATGTTATATTTGTTGTCACTCCTACAGCAGCCACAATTCAACTCATAGATAGATAGATAACTACTGCAAATTACTCATATTGCACAATGATGAGTAGTTCCAATTCTGAAACAGCAGAACACAGAACACCTTCTCTATTGTGGAGTTCCCATTTTCATTTATGGTACTTCCTAGAGTTATGACATTTGCATTCAATGGGAGACGAAACTCATAAGTTACTTATTGATTGGTTTATGCCTCATACTTCTTGGATAATAATGAACATAATTACAGTAATTGAAAATGATAGCATTGGAAGATGTATATACAAAATATATATTTATCTAACATAATAAGTAAAAGACACCAGAATAATTCATGTCAATATCAATTTAAATCTAAAGCCAAACTATTAATAATGAATAAATTTTACACATTTCTGAATTCTCATAAAACATTATACACATTTGGTTTATTGCAATATATTCCTCAGAAGATCATGTTTACAAAAAAGTATTCATTATTACAGGCATATCCCAGATTACATACATTATGTGTTCACGTGTTCTATCAAATATTAATAGTAGTTGTATTGTGAATTGCCATTTCCCATTCTTAAAAAACAAAATTTTACCTCATGGAAAGTTTTTGACCAATAACCAATATGATTTCATGTTTCACCATTCTGGAGAATGAATGCCCTTGTTAAATTGTATGATATGCTTCAGCAAGGAAAGAAGAAGAGATTGATGGCTCTGTTAATATTTCTATATGTCAAAGACACATTTGACAATGTGTGAAGACCCCCAATTTTAAAAATTATCAGAGATATCAAAGTATACAAAATATATTCTACTTGCTCAAGCATTTCTTAAAAGACAGCTAACCTTAAATTGGACTTTGTTAAAAAACCTGCTCCTTAAATAAAAGCTGTCCTCAAGGCTCAGTATCTGGACCCCAATTCTGGAATGTTATTGAAAATGACTTTCTAATTAAATTATCAAGTTAATGTTTCTGCTCATCAGTTATAAAATCAGCTACTTCATTAAAAAATAATTAATTAATGACAATTTGGCTAACTTTTCTTAAAACCCAGACCTTTTTGATCTTCCATAACACCTAGATATGCACAAAAAGCAGACAAGTGGCAACGTTGGAACAGACAAAGTGTCTATCAGTGGAAATAGCAAAGTCGGATCATGGTAGGGGCAGAAATACATGACAGTGATATCTGTTGTTTGTTTTATCGTGAGATAGTCATAACCTAAGGTACAATCAATAATAGTATATTGATATTTTAAATCCCAATAGGATTGTTATTTTATTTTCTAGTATGAATCTTCTGAAGAAAATATTGTTTAATCTTATCTTCTCTTTCTTTTTGAAGTTCATAGTTTCATTTTCAGTTCCTCAGTTTTATATAGAACAATTTATCTATTATTTTTATGTAATTGAAATTCAATGATATAAAAAGAAATAATTTCTTCTATGATCTTGATCACTTGATATTAATAATATCTAAGATTTTAAAATAACTTACTATTGTTTTTTTTGTGTAATATTTTTACACAAAAGTGAGAAATTGAAATAGCATAAAGAGATTTGAAAAATTTTTTTAAAAATAGGCAAGAATGAATTTCTGAAGAAAAGATTTGCAATAGACTATTAAGTTTGATACATGATTCAGTTTAATAAAGGATACGCAATCTTAAAAAATCTACAATATTGAAGGCTAAATAGAAAAAAATTCACAACCACAGTTAACACTAGTGGAGTTGACCTTTCTTTATAGGCTCTTCTCAACTTATATTTATATAAGTCATTCAAAAATTCCTGTGATACCAGATATTTGTAAAATAAAGAGTAAAAAACCATTATATTACAAAAACTTTTAAAGGACTTGTAAATCTTGGCAAAGAAGTGCCTATAAAGAAAGATTGACTCTGCAAGTATTAACTGTGTTCCAGTGATTGATGTTCAGAAGACTTCAAAAATTATTTGAATTTAGTCTTCAATAGTGTACATTTTTTCAAATATATTTCATCCTAAATTTTTAATCTTTATTTTACAAAATATTTTAAATAAAATTATCTAACATTTAAACACATCTGTTAAAAAGAAATTTCAATATTCAATCTAGAATTAAAATATACAAGCAAATAAATTAACTTCAAGATTAACTTTTTCTAAACATACAAAATGTGTTTAATACTCATACATTTCTAATAACTAAACTCTCAAAACTATTTTAAAAAATCTTCATGTCTTAATTTGGAAGCTAACACCGAGGACCCAACTTAATTCATAAACACCAATTCCAATAGATGGCAATTTTAGTACACTTTTAAAAAGATATTTAAAAATTAATCTCATAAATTTTGCAATTACATTTTCATGTATTTTCATTTAATTACAAAATTAAAAGTTTTTTCAAAATTGATTTTGCATATTTAATAAATACTAGCTTACCCGTTGCGCATTGCTGCGATTTCAGAAGAAAGGAAATTCAAGCAAACTCGTTATGATAAAATTCAATTTACATTTTATTATTTTTATTGAAACTTATTATTATTATTCATTTTCATCGGGAAAACATTTCAAAGTGTTGTTTCAATTCTATTTATTTATTGGAGTGTTTGTGGATACACGATATTTTTTGTTTTTTCCTCTGGTGTGTACACGAATAAATCGGAAGGTTTTTCGACGCGTGAGCCGGCCACATACAGTTGTCCATGCGAGAAGCACGGATTCTCCAAATTTAGCCCACACACTCGCTGCGATTGTCAGAAGTGCGATATTCCCCATTTTTATATATATTTTTAAATCCTTTATAATTTTAATTATTTAATTGCTCCTTCCTCTCTTCCTTGGCATGTTGTGAAATTTCTGATAGTTGGATAATAAACCGTTTTATTGTAATTTGTCTTTTTAAATTATTTTGAGTCGATATTAAAATTTGGAAAAGGGGGGATACCTAGATCGGTAAAATACGCGAATTTCTTCCTACAACTTCGGTTGTTGTTCGGGGTACAGTTAAGGTTTTAACGAAGTTCGAGCGAATACATAATTAGCAAAAAAAAGTTGAAATAAAGTGATTAAACAAAACTTATTATAAATATCGTAAATAACAGTTCACAAATGCATATATAGAGATATTTTTTGAAGGGGGGAAATGGTCTTCACAATTTGAAATCGATCGAACACACTGTGCGCGAATGCTCGTGTAAACGCGCGCCATCTATCGTAGGATAAATGTACTTCGCGGGAGTGTATTAAAAAATTAAAAAAACTTTCCAAAGTTTTATGGCATGGCAATCGTACTATGCCACAAACTTTCGCCAGAGTATATTAAACAACTTCCCAAAGTTTCATGGCAATCGGATAAACGGTGTGGTAATGCATGAAAGACAGACACACACACACACACACACACACACATTCATTTTTATATATATAGATTTTTCATTAATAAAACATAATGTATTAAGAAACACAAACAGAACAAACTATAAACTAATGAATTTTTTCTGGCATTTTCTAGACACACTGATAATGTACCTAGATGTCAGATACATGCATGTACAAAAATCAAAAAATGAAATTTGCAACTAGTATTCAGTACAAATGGATTTGTGACTTTTAGAACTGTAATGCCCAAATCAGACCTATGGCACAGGTTAATCCAGCCAGCAACCATATTTGATTCATCACTTATAAATGATAGAAGCAAGTTTAATTATTTTGTATATATGGAATATACAAAATATTTGTGGCCCACATACTTATGACTTATGCAATTTGGCCTGCCAATTGAAAGTTTGGGCACTACTGTTTTAGAAGGTCAAAGTATTTTTCATGATTTTATACCTATTTCGAAATATTAGTATTATTATGTGATTGTGATAGTCTATATTTAAATGTCATTAGAGTAAAGATTTTTATATTTTCTTTATTATAATATGTGCAAATGTCATCAATAATTTATTAAAAAATTTTCTATTTTGATTTTTATGTAACATATTGTAAATCAATAGAATAAACAGTACTACTAAAATATCCTAAAATAAGTATACCATTTCTTCTTAAAGAAAATATCTATTATGAAAATTAATATAAAATTTTGAATTGTTATAAAACAGTTTGATAGCTATCAAAACTGATTTGTTTAATGTCTCAAATACAAACAAAAAATGGGCTTTATTTCAAGCATAAGAACAAATGAAATTTGTAACTAGTATAAAAACTATTCAAAGCAAAATGCAAAACATCAAACACCAACAGTTGTGTGTGCTGTGTGCTATTTTTAGATAGCAAGATACAAAAATGATTGTCACACTACTTAAAGTGTTATTACCATATGATATCTCACAAATATCTGCAAATTTTTTTAAAAGAACACTGTAAAAAAATCAGCATTTATATATAATGCTTATGATTTAAACAGCAAAGTAAGGAAGTTATTCATTTTCTCAGACTTCTTATAAAATTTTAACACATTTTTAAAAAAAATACTTTTTAAAAATTCATAGATACTGTAAATTTTCTGAATTAAACAACAGTTAAAAACATTTTTATCAACTAATATACTAAAGACAATTTTATTAATACATGTTCATATACCATATTTACTTGCATATATGATGAGGTTTTTATTCACTTTTCACTGCTTCAAATTCCTAGATCATCCTATAAGTGCAAACAAAAGATTTTTTGCGTTTTTGCAAATAATTTTTGTGAGCTATGTTTTTTATTGGATGCTCACCCTCTGGTGTCTAAAAACAAAACTATTTTATCTGGGTTGTTTAAATCATTCTTGTGCATTGTCAGGAGTAAAGATGAATATCAATGGGAGAAGCAAGGCTTTTGAATTGAATTCCAGATTGAAATCCAAAATCACACGAGAGCACGATTTAAGTTTTAATCCATTCCCACATGAAAACAGATGATTATTCAGAAATCAGAATTCAGAGAAACTCATAAATGTAATCAACAAAGAGTGGATTCGACTGTTAAGAATTGGCAGAAAGTTTTCCCAACTGTCCAGCTTTACATGAACAAACTATGTTGTCGATTTTACAAGATTTTTCCTTAAAGTTTAAAATGCCAGTAATTTTTGTGGGACAATGTGTGCATTTACATTCATTTGATATTTTACTTGTGATTAAGCAAAATAAAATTACAATTGTATAAATAAATCTAATTTTCTTTATTTGATCTTTAAAGTCACACCTCGTCCTGTATGTGAGGTTGTCTTATATGCAAATAAATACGATATCAATAAAAATAGCTTTGCTATAGACATACCTTTCAATTTCAACCATAAATTCATTTTCTTCCTTTATATGTTTAATTATTTCATTGGCTTCCCTTTCCATAATTTCTTTCTGATGTTTTAAATCAGCTTTTGATCTTAAAATCTAAAATAAGAGACAAATTAAGTGTTGTTAGGTCAGATTAATTAACAAAATTAAATAAATCAAATGATGATAACCCCAAAAAGTGATATCGTTTCATTTTTATAATTTATTATTATTCTCTTTACAGCTTGTTTCTATATAACCAAACTTCAAAATTCAATAATTTATAAATTTCAAAAGGAGAGTAAAAAATGAAATCTAAAATGGAGTCTTTTTTGCTCATCTTTTTAGTTTTTAAATGGCTTTTATTAATCATTTCAAAACACAATAAACATTAAATTAAAACTTTAAATATTAAAAACAAAAATCATCATTAAAGCAAACAAATTACTATGTTAATTTTTTAATTTAAAACTTACATTAAAAAGAATTAAATTTAAAATTAATTTCATTTATGATAACAATCTATAGTATATAATTTAATCGAAAACATTAATATAATATAATTATTTAAAATTTATATTAAAAAATTATCAATTAATTAAACATTTTAAATAAAATACAGTGTATTTGTATATAAAAATTAAGACAAATCATGGAAAATAAGATTAAAGATTGATTAGAGAGAGTTTAGACTAACCACTAAAGCAGCCTAAGAAAGAAAAACATGGAGTAAAAATTTTAAAACCATTCAAAATATTTATCAACTGTTGTCTGCACAGCTTCTATTTTTTTTTTCTTTGTTGAGTTTTCTGTAAAAGTTGAAAAATTAAAACAGAAATATTTGCAGAAATTACATTAAATGTGAAAATAAAAATTAAATTATCCAAATAAGAGTGCTGCACTAAAAAAATTAAGATTCACTTTCACCTACTAAATAACAATGGACAGATGTGGATAGAAGAAATTGATTCAGCATTGTCAGCTCTGTCTAGCTGACAATGATAAACTCTCAGAAAAAAAGCACAGGAGTTATTGTAAAAATCTTCAAACAGGGTGAACAAAATTGTGCCCCCCACACAGCCATACATATAGAAATTACCTCTGAATTTTTTTGCATTTCTCAATGTTTTAAGGTCCTGATTCCAATGTAAAAATCTTCAAGGGTCATTTTTTGACCCATTGCCATACTTTCCCTCTGTTATATATATATATATATATCCATGATATATTATGTCATGGATATGACAAGAACAATGTAAGAAATCTATCTCATAAAATAAACAGTTTTGTTTGTAGAAACAGTCTTGCTTCACTGTCCACTTTATCCATATATTGTACAACCTATCATCCTTCTTGTCATCCTGAGTGACATCTCTTTCTCTAAGAGTGTGTTGACTGCATTGCCACATTCAATATCTGGACTATGACGAAACCTCATGGAGGTCATCAAATGAATATCAATTTTATACTCTCAGAATTAAAAAATAATTTTTATTGGTGTAATAGTGAATAAAAATGTTTTTACTTTCCTGGCTGTTATATATATATATAACAGCCAGAAAAATAAAAATGTTATATACTGTTAAAAATGTAAATGTTAAAAATGATATATGTGGCAATGCAGTCAACACTCTCTTAGAGAAAAAGATGTCACTCAGGATGACAAGAAGGATGATAGGTTGTACAGTATATGGATAAAGTGGACAGTGAAGCAAGACTGTTTATTTTATGAGATAGATTTCTTACATTGTTCTTGGCATATCCATGACATATTTCTAAATTAAGAGGATCCAGGTTTAATTTGAGTCCTGCTCAACAGTCACAGCTGATTGCAGAGACAATGTTTAGAGGCAGACGATGGTTTACAGATCGGATAGACCACTGTTTAGAAAAATTTCATTGTAGAGACGGTGTTTCTTGCTTGCCACAATGTAGACAGCGATTAGAAACAAGTTATTTGACCTATTTTCTAGACTCACTAGACAGCAGGTTTAGAGGACTTTTTAATTTGAGTGGTAGCTTTGTTCGTGGAAAAGTTTAGATCAGTGTTTCTCAATGGGGGCAATATCGCCCCCATGTGGGCATTTTTCCACATTGAGGGAGCAATTAGTAACAATTTACATTTTGGGGGAGCAAAAAGTGTGAGATTAGCTGGGGGTACAACTTGGAGCACCACTTAATTGGCACAAATCGCAAGATTTGATCTCAAAATTTTTAAGGAGTGCTTTAAAGTGAATAAGGATATAGACAGTAAAGTCTAGATCATGTCAGGATGTTGACACCAGTTAATCAGTTTTATTACACACGCATTAACATGCATTATCACTAACTTCTAATAATGAAGAACGCAAGTAACCTGAATAAGTATAAGTGTGAATATCTAACATTAACCAAGCCATATTTATAAAATAAACTAAAACATTTAATAAATCAAAAATATCAAAAGTATACAAATGAATGACTAACAAATCGCACTTAAACCTAAATCTAAATAACTAACTTAAACCTAATCTTATTTTAAACCTGACTGACGCATGAGAGAGAGTTCACATTGATCTAACCGTTATCATATTACCTTCTCAGTTCTTTCAATATTTCAATGTATGAGAATCTTCTTTAATTACGGATAATCTTCTTATATTTTCTATGGCACTTTCTTGTAAAGATAACTCTTCTTATGACGGTCTCGTCGTATAACTGACTCTATATATCATATGGAGGACTCTGTAGTATGACTTTCAATTAACAAACTCATAGGACCAGACTTGTATGACAGACTCTCTATATCGTATGGAGAACACTTTGAATGGCAGACTCCCTGAATGGCGATCTCCCTTCGTATGATGGTCTCTCTTCGAATGGCAGGAAAATGTCCCTTTTATATCGGCCTTCTCTGATGGCTAAGTAGCGTGTGCAAAAGCTGCATTTTTGACTCATCTCACGAATCGGCTGTGGAAAGGAAATCAACTTCCTTTCTAAAATCGAAAGTTTCTTTTGATATCCGTTTTTGTAAAATTCGTTGAAGTTTAAAATATTATTTTCTATTAATTTATAGATCTTTTTCTCTCCTTGTTTTGACACAAAATGACTTTCTTCCAATTTCTAGATTCTCACACTTTGTTCGTGGAAAAGTTTAGATCAGTATTTCTCAATGGGGCGATATCACCCCCACGTGGGCGTTTTTCCATGTTGAGGGGGCAATTAGTAACAATTTATATTTTGGAAGCCAAAAAACAATTTTCTGGGCGATACAGTAAAACATTATATTAAGAATAATTGGATATTTTATTCGTTATATCATACAATAATTAAACAAATAACATTATACTAGTCACTAGTCTATTCAATGCAGTACAAAATTTAATGTTAGCCTTGGCCCTTGGCATTGGAATTTTGAAGTGAAGGGGGCAATACTACGTAACGGCTTTATTGAAGGGGGCAATACTACATTGAAGGGGGCAACGATTCGTTAGAGGTTGAGAAACACTGGTTTAGATAAAAATGGATATCGATCCTTTGATAAATATTGTAAATGGTACGAATGGACAAAATTATTCATTAATTAATTGCTTGGAGCAAAAATAACAAAATTAAATACTTTCAATTTGTTTTAAATCTTCCAATTCTGATATTCAAATGGGTGAAGACTTAATTAATTTAAATCAGATGCATTGATTTACAATTCCAGAATCATGTCGGTTATAAAATGTTAAAGCATTTCAGGGTCATTGTTGTTAATCCCCTAATCAGAACATTCTGTTAAACAAATGAGACAATTTTAATAATTACCGAAATCTTTTTATAGAAATAAAAAAATGTAATAGTAATAATATAATATTTAAAATTATTCATTTAGACAGTTATGAAGAAAGATAATAACACAATGATGAAATAATTCCTTAAAAATCTATTCCAAAGACAAATTTTGAATTAGATATAAATTTTCTAAATATGGATTTGTTCGTATTTTAAACTGTGTTGGCGATGAAATTAAATATCAAAATGAAAAAGGATTGTCATTAATTTCTGAACAATGGTTGTTGACAGCCATAACATTTTATTTCCAGAAGCTTTCTGAATATAGCTGGCGATCTTTTCTGATGTCACAAACAAATAACCCAATTGACCAAACGACTCCTAAAACAGGGGAGTAATGGCGAAGAAAGTAAGAGCCAATATTTTGCCGAAGTTCATGTAGAGGACGTTCAGAAATAGATGATCATTATCTTTGTAATGCATTTTAAACCACAATTCAGCCAGCCAACGTCTATAGGCCATTCTGTTGATAAACATTGTTTAACGTAAACTCTGTCTGTGCAATTGGCTGTCAATGTTCTACAAGTATGAATAATTACCTGTATTTATAGAACATTGACTGTTTAGCAGGATTGTGGTCTTGTCATTGAAAAAAAAAAATGGTAGCTGGCTGTAGGAAGGTCCAGTGAATGCTTTCAACGCACTTCTAACACTGAGATGTGATGGTCAACTTTACCACTGGTCAGACACCTCAAGTGATGAAGGCGATTGTAAATGACAGATCTCAAGAAGTAAAGATGACAGACTTCATGTGAGTTGAGAAAAAGATCAAAATGTAACAGATGACCTGAAGACTTTCTGGCTTTTGATGTAGGGTACCTGATCAGAGAAAAATCCTTAAGACAGCAATTCTGATTGGTCTTGATCTCTCAACCTCTCTTTCTATGGGTCTCCAAGTGAAAATTCAAGCCCAATTTAGGCTGTGGGAGAGATCAATTGTCAATGTTTCATATCATCAAATTCCAATCCCAACCAAAAATAGTTGATCTTACAACTTACATTGTTTAATTCAGTTCACGTCAAAATGTAAACTTTAACTAACAATATTTTATATCTTTTAAATAATTTTTTCATATTCTAAAACTTTTTAAAACAAATTTTAGTGAATAGTATGGATCCTCACATTCATTTAATATTTTTAACAATACACACATTTCTTTGGTTCTTAAAAAATGACAAATGAAAACATTTTATTAATGATTAATAAAATAATAAGTTATCGCTATTGGAGTCATTATAGACCCAAAAGTAATGATAATTTACACTTCCTTTACCAAACAAATCTATGCCAAGCAAAACCTAAAATTTAAAAATACAAATTGTAACAGAAAATTCTTGAACTTCGGAATCATATAATTCACTCTTTCTATTCATAATAAATTTTATCTATAAAAATAAATATTTCACTTTTCTTATATTTAAATTATTTCAACATTTAATTAAAATAAAACANAATATAAAAGCATATCTTTATGTAAAAACTTTAAAGCATTAATTTGGTAATACTTTAATGAAAAGACACTCTTTTGAATTTATACTAATACTTGAAAATTTGTATGTATAGTTAAGGATTAATACAAATATTTCTCCTTTCAAAGTATTATCAAATATTTCCAACTTGTTGAGACAATAACATTCTTTTCAATTTCACTGTCATTATAACAAATAATAAATGCACTAAATACTGGATAATATTCAAAACACTTGCTCAACCAATCCAACTCATGAAACACAAATGAAATGGAGAAAAACAAAAATCTTTGATTGCTAGCAATCATCCTCAAATTAAAACTTATTTTGGAAATATACATCAAAATAGAATATATGATGAAATGTATTAATTTAAAATATAAAACAAATGTCTGATTGACCATCAGGTGTCATATATTTGTATCAGGATGTAAATATCTAGATCAGGGCCTCTTAAACTATGGGTCGTGACCTCATTTGGGGTCGCTTAGCGAAATCTTGGGGTCGCGAGATTTTAATGCAAAATATTGAAAATAATTTGTAAGAGTCAGAAAATGGCACGCTTTGTGTCATAGGTTTCATGAGTTGTGTCACTTCTGGTGCAGCGAGACAACGATTCAGCAACATTGATTGTNAAAAATATTCAAAAATCTATATATTTGCTTAATAAATAAATAGGAATATCTGCAGTATATAAACTGTAAATATTCAGATTCATTCAGTTCACTAAAATACTATCTTACCTCATTTTCATTTATTGTTAGATGCCTTTCTCTAACTTCGATGTCTGAAAGAGCTTGTTTTAACTTTTCTTCCATTTGCTGATATTCTCGTAACTGAATAAATTAAACATTTCAATCAATAAATTGAGAATATTTATAAGCTCACTTAAATTACTAATTCAAAGACCCAGTAGAACTTCATTTCAAATTCACTGTAATGTGGTTAAAATTTCTGATGGCAAAATGAAAAAACTGATTCTTGGTTCTTAAACTGGCTTGATTTCTGTTACATGAGTTCATAAGGATAAAATCTGAGAACTCTTAGTATTTGAATATTTAGCCCAAGTTCTCAAAAACAAGAACTTTTTAGAATCAAATGATCTCAATTCTTGCATTTAAATATTTTAATCTTTACTTAAAAATCAGTTTAGATTAACTTAGATTAAATCTTTAGTGAAGTTCACCTTAACTTTGGACTATTGAACACTAATAAGTAATTCACAAAAAAATATAGTCCAAAGAAAGGCATAACTTATTAAACCCTTACAAAATCATTATTATATGTTATAATAATGACTAATAATGACACTATTAAAAGGCTGCTTAGCTTTGGCAATAGTCTAAAGTTATGGTGAACAGCACTATAGTAATAAAGCATCTTTTGTATATGTAATTTTATTATAAAAATAAATGTAACTGTGTGGCATTTATACAGTAAAATAAAAACGAAAAAGAAAAATATTAAAAGCTATTCAAACTGGAAGAAAAAAATTCAGTACCATGCAATTCCAATTCACACAGATATTACTGTAATAAGATAGGCCAAAAATATTCCTTATACATTAATAAACTTTTGTCTTCCAGAAATAGCAATTTCATTTCTTAAAGGCTGACACAAACTAGACAATATCAAAGCAAACTGGTCGAAGCAATTTAGTTCAATCATCACACGCCTGATGGTCATTGATTGCCAGTCACTGAATCAACATCACTCTACATTATACTCTTTGATGGAAAGTAGGTGGTCTGTTTGATACCTATAGCATCTAAGAAGTTTGATTTTTCAGGCAGTGAACGACAAAATTCGTGCACATTTGAAAGTTTGTGAGAAAGGAGCATGCAACATAGGCTACAAAGAAGACATTTGTGCTTTACATTTTGGCCATATCTTAGCTATGCTGGGATTACAAAACAGAGCTGTTTGATAAATTTTCATTGAAGTAACAATATAAATTATTTTATTGAAATTTAACATATTTTCGCTGAAATGCTGGTCTATCTGGGGAGACCCATGTTATCAGATATTTGGTAAAAATGATATGGTAAAAACCAACATGCCAGTTTATCACAGGGAATGTCGGCATGCCAGTTTAAATAAGGTTCAAAACCACAAAAATGAACATATTAAATTTAACAAACTTGCTTAACAAACAAATTTCACACAAAGCCAAAGCTTTGTGTGAAATTTGAGAGAAAAGTGTTATTTTTAAGGTCAGGGTAGATGATCAGTATAGCCCACACTGACTGACTGACTGACTGACTGACTAACTACTACTAGTAGTACTAATGTCAATAACTTGTTAATTATTTTGTTGTCTTGTAAACAAAAACTCTTCCTGATTTTAAGTCAGTTAAATTACAATGTTATTAGTTCATTGTACTCAAAAGAATGTTTTCTTTAATGTTTAATTAACAACTAGTTTTGTTAGATCTGATTAATTTTATATTTTAGTCGCAGTTTAACCAACATGCCAGTAATCCTGAGATTTCCAGCATTTTCTGTTCTCCCCCATTTGTGTGGTGCCCCACACAAATGCTGATCATTTTGCAAAAATATGGTATAAATCTATCAAGTCCTCAATTTTGTTTTCATTTATTTATTAAATTCCTGACAAACAACAAAGGGAAGCAGCCGAAGCTAACATCAACTATGAAGTCATCATCGTTTTATAGGGTTGGCAACTAAGTGATTGCGGATTTTGTCAATAGGTGGCCTTAGCACATTTTTTTGCTTTGTCATCGTGTTCAAAGCATTTAACCTATATTGTTTTCTTGTCGTTTGGACTTTCATCTTTAATTTAGTAAAAAAATTGTATCGATTAGTTATTTAGTTTCGTTTTTATCCCAATTTATAAATGGAAGAACAAGACATGCATTTCAGACATATTTTATTGTATTATTTCCAAAAAGGCAAGAATGCATCACAAGCACACAAGAAGTTATGTGCCGTATATGGGAATGAAGCCTTGAAAGAAAGGCAGTGTCAAAATTGGTTTGCCAAATTTCATTCTGGTGATTTTTCACTGAAAAATGCTCAACGATCTGACCGTCCAGTCGAAGTTGATGAGACCCATATCAAGGCCATTATCAATTCAGATTGTCATAGCACAACGCATGAGATTGCACAGAAGCTCAATGTATCACATACATACCATTCCTGTTAGGGATTTTGAGTTAGGCAGTGAGTGGATGTGCTCTGTTTTTGGATCGCCGCATCGGTGTTACCTTTGATCAATCAGTGGATTAACTTATATCGCCGGATTCGTCTCTTCACGAGCTGTCGAACGACTTCGGATTTTTCCGGATTGGACCAACGGTTCAGTAGTTAGGACCCCCGGAATTTTTGTGTTTTCTGTCCGCCATTTCCAGGCGAATCCCGCCAGTAAGAGGTAGTGTAATACATCATTTTTCTCGGCTTTTTACGGGCTTTCCAACGCCGTCATTGGATTTTCACTCCGACGTTTTGTTCACGCTCTACAACGACCGAAAGTAGTCACAGTTCGGGCCGTTGTGCAGGCTTCTCAGGCCACCATTCTCCTTCTTATTCGGGCAGTTCCTTTATCTATGTATTAACTATCTGTGTACTAAATTTCATGTGTCCATGTATATTAGTCTTAAAATAACGAGCAATCTTAAATCTGTACCAGACAAAGGAGTCAAAGGTCGTTGACCTCTGCACGTGGCCAGGTCAAGTACCCTAACCAACCCTAATTCGGTGGATGTTCGTCTCGTTTTTCGGGTCTCGCTGGTCACATCATCCTAGGTTACCCGCATTTGTATATTGTTGGGCTGTTTTTGTATTTTTTCCGTGTCTTCACGACGAATCTTTGATGATGGATCGCCCAGAGATGGATTTCTTAGAGACAATCACCCAGGGACTCGATATAATTATGCAAGCTGTACCGGTGAACTCCCATGGCTTGGTATCAGTGAGCAATAGGAAAGCCATCAGGCGAGCAGCGTTCGATATGCACGCTGCCGCTAATAGTATCTACGGTATTGTGCTAGCCGTAAGGACCAAAGAAGGTGCAGGAGAGGGTAACAGCATCTACATGGAAGTGGCAAAAAGGGGGTCCACCTCTCATAGAGGAAGCCGTACCACAAATATAATAACTGACACTATTGCTACATCCCAGCAAGGGGAGAAGACACAAGACTTAATGATAGTGTCAACAGTGACAAAAGAAGGGGAATGATGAATGTCCAGAGGAGATGATGAATGTTATAAGTGAAAAGATAGACCCAGCAAGTCTAGGCATAAGCATGAGGCAAGTATCAGCTGTTCCTGGCAAGGGAATTAAGTTCCGGGTTAAAACGGAAAGGGATGCAAAAAACTTGCAAGAGGCAATTGAGAAATTACCAGAGCTGAACGAGAGGGTAAGGATGACTAGGCTCAAACGAAGAAGACCTAGAGTGATTTTCTTAAACGTACCGGCTGTGGAGGGAAAAGAGGAGCTAATTAAAAAACTATACGAACAGAACGAGGAAATACGGAACAAATATTCTAAAGAGGCTTTTGAGCAAGAAATAAAAATTACGCATGGGATAAACTCCAAGACAAAACCAGGATACAGACACGTGGTGATGTCAGTGCCCCCAGCACTGCGTAATATACTAATTAATATGAGACGGGTGAGCTATGAATGGGGCACTCTGGTGGTCGACGACTATATCCCCATAGTCAGGTGCTACCGATGTACTGGATTCGGGCATATGGCGGCATCCTGCGACCACAGAGAGCGCTGTGGTAAGCACTAAGCACCATAAGTTTAAGCACTAAGCGCCATAAGTTTAAGGACTGTGGAAACCAACAAGATACACCTACATGTATCAATTGTGTGAAAGCAAATAAAGGGCAACAAAACGATCACAAATACGATACAAACCATAATGCCTTCTCGCTGTTCTGTCCCGTCTTAAAATCTTACAAGAAATTACTGGTGAAACAAACCAATTATGAATAACACAAGTACCATTCCCTCTACAACTAGACAAAGTTACAACATCATGGATAAAGGTAACTTTAAAATCTTACAAATAAACACTCAAAAGAGCCAGGCAGCCTCTTCACTTGTTATAAAATCGGCAAACGACTTGGATGCAAACATTGTCCTCATCCAAGAACCTTACACCATAAAGGATCAAATTGTAAGGTTCGGTACTTGGCAAGTTTTGTACAAAAATACTGATGGTGAAAGGCTGAAATGTGGAATAATTGTCAGGAACAACCATGTCAGCATTGCATTAATACCCGAGCTCAGCTCCAACTGGATTACCATAGCGGCACTCCACCAAGGACCTGTGGACTACATATTAAGCATATATTTCTCACCCTTCGACAGTGACGAAGATTGTGTCGATGAGCTAGCCTCAGTTTTGAGGAAACTAGACAAGAATACGTATATTATCGCAGGCGACTGCAACGCAAAATCCCCCATATGGTATCATGAGATAGAAGATAACAAGGGGAGGCTGCTGCAAGACCTGTTAAACGAAATAGATGGTATTTCCCTCAACACTTCTGATATACCCACCTTTCAGACCGCAAGGGCAAAGGGCTGGACGGACATCTGTCTGGTGCCCACTGGGGTGGGAAGTAAGATCATAAGTTGCAATACCCTCCTCAAAGACTCCGCAAGTGACCACCGATATATTCTGACAACAATTAAAAATGACTACCAGCAAGGGGCTCAGACAAATAAATACTACAGCAAAATTACCAACTGGGATCTCTTTCATGAGATCTTCGCTAGACAGTGGAGGGAATATCGATTTACAGAAAACAGAAACCAAGAAGACATCGATCACTATGTTAACCACATCACTTACTCAAT